ATCAGATGTTACTACACAGGTCAGGTTTCCAGAGCTATGATAGTGCTGCTCCTATCATAATAAACAATAGGAGACGTTTCTACAACGTAAGGAACATAAAATATAACACACCGAGAGACACTGTACAGTCTAGGTTTGTATTATGATTGTTTTTTTTTTCGTCTGGGATATTCAAGAAAAAAAATAACAGGATATCCAAACAATAGTTCATTATCATCACTTACATTAAAAGACAAGGATTGTTATAACAATTAAAATAGAAAACAAGTGAGTTATAATGAATAGATAAAAAAAGAACCTGAATGCAGAATTATTTACGTTTATTATGCATTTGTAGATCTATTATTTTATATATATATATATATATATATATATATATATATATATATATATATATATATATTATTATTATTATTCCGTTGTTGTTTATTAAAATATTATTAAATTTAATCCTATTGTACAGCGCTGAGCAAACCCTTTGGCGCTATTTAAACTCGATGTAATAATAATAATAATAATTTACAAAGAATACACACGAGAATAACGGATCCTTATTTGAAAAAAAAAAAAAAAAAAGACAGCTCCAAAGAGGTTCGAAATGTAAGCCAAGTGGCTAAAAATAAAAAACCATGTGTTAAAAAAAAAAACATGAACATTGATTGCAAAGCACAACTTGTCTTAGATTTATAGACAAAACACCTGTAATACACGTTGAGCAAAGAAAAATGTTCAGGTTTTGGCTTTAGAAACCTTATATATATATATATATATATATATATATATATATATATATATAAAATTATTATTCATTTATGTTTTATTTTTTTATTACCATTTATTTTTTCATGCTCAGGTTTTCATTCATGCTGTTTTTGTAATTATCAACCCAATGCACATTTTATGGTATTGTAAATGTACTGTCTCATTGCACAAATTGTTGGTGCTATATAAATCCTGTACAATAATAATAAATATGTAAAATATGTAATTATTTCTGCACAGATTTTTATTTATGATGTTGTTTTTTAAATACCAACCCCTATGCGTGTGTATATATATATATATATATATATATATATTCAGGTTTTGATTTTTTAATACAAGGATCTTGAGTGGACCAGAGTGGATGTTCTGCACAAATCCATGCAAATCCAGGACTGAACGCAGCCCATGCCTTAGTATTGCTGAGCAGCCATGGTTCCTGAATGTGCAGAGTGGGAGAGGCCAGGACAGGGTGAATCGCAGGTCACAGCTTGTAACTAATATGAAAATGCCAAAGGCAATCACACACCACGCCTCGCTGTTTAACAAAGACTGACAAAAGTATGAGATTAATTTCCCCCCCAAAAAACGGGGACCCGGGAGTCCTATATGCTCACAAGGCCTGCTACTGACCAAGGGAAGGAGCAGATCCCTTTAAGAAGCTGCCCTAAAATTGCATGTAATATATGGAAGCAGGAGGATAAGGAAGAAGATAAGGAAAGGCTTCATCTATATTCTCTAGAAGAGTGACCAGTCCCCTCTAGGACTTTATGGACAAAGGCACAAGGCTGAGCATGGACTGGTAAAGGTATGTGGCTGTAGAGAAGAGGTGGGGTGGGGACACAGCAGGGGGTGGGGGGGTCAGACAGGTAGGAATAATGTTCTGAGACCTGCATGGCACACTACACTGCTGTGTCATTAAAAAGGCTGCTTTGTCCTGAAATTAGTTTAAATGTGATATAATAATTCCCATTACTGAGCCTAGGCCACATAGGAAAAGGTTTGCAGGTTTAGGGAATGATTCTTCTATTGGTATAAGAGAAGGGTCCATGATGAAGAAGGCCTCCACTGTAGGTGCCTGGCAGAAGTGATCTACTAATTTCCTAAAACTGTCACCTGTCATTTTGAAAGCATATGTAAACAATGCAGAATACCAAAAAACAGACTTATAAATTATAGGGTTAATGTATGTCCATGCAGTGTGATTATAGGAGATGGGATGGGGTGGGGGGGGGCTCAATGTGAGAAGTGGGTGTTCACCCACCTTTGTGAATAAGGTGAAGCTGTGTTCCCTTTAAAAAAACAAATGTGCACAGGACAGGGGTGGACTGACAAATCATGGGGCCCCCGGGCAATAGGGGATCATGGGGCCCCTGTGTCCTTGCCCAAACTCAAAAAAGCCTATGAAAAAGGTACCAGGGGCATCTCATGGGGCCCCCTACTGACACCGGGCCCTCGGGCAGTGCCCGAGTTTCTAAATGGTCAGTCCGCCCCTGGCACAGGAATATTAGCATGCACCTGATTGGATGATTGCAATGAAAGCAGCTGCAGCTTATTCTCTGCAAAGTGAACGCACACCTTCGAATCGAACATGGCTTTGCTAAGTGAACCAAATAATGTCAATAAGCTGTGATGTATCCTTTTATGCCAAAAGTCACCCAAGTGTTACTTTAGCTCATGTTGTTGAAATGTTTTTGACGATATAAGTCAAATCCAGAATAGCTGGCTTCTTTCAGCTGCCCATACATTGTACAATCTAATTGTACAATCTCCTTTAGATCTACCATCAACTGCCTCCCTATATCAGTTGCTTAGTATGCCCCCATAATTACATGGTTTTGACAACTCTAAAGGAGGTGGTATAGAGTCTGTACAATCAAATTGTATAGTGTATGGCTAACTTAAGGTAGATTCTCTGCCCCTTAGCTGATTACAAACAGTGCAATCTCCATAGGTGACTTCCAGTGGGTTTTGTGATTACAAGGGTCATTTGTATTTTTTTTTTTTCATTTTAATAAACTCAGAGTGTTCTGCTAAATGTTTGTGCTGTGATTACGATCTGTTGATTGAGTCATTTCTGCAGATAAGTAGGACTATTCCGTAGACATTTTAAATCACCGGATTAGTATCATAAATTGGTGAGAAATATAATTGAGGGCGCTATTAGAATGTCATGGGTATTTTTTTTCCTACATACTATTTTACTGGTTCTTATTTTGTCACTTAGAATAATGACTTCATTCAGCTATTTATGGCCTGTTGAGAGTTTAAACCTTAACGACCATTTTTAATAATATGGCGATGAAAGAAACGTTCATTAATGCATGTATGCTGTAATGGGACTGTGAGCTTTGTATGTACCATCAGCAGGGTAGGTACATTGTATAGAGAAAGTACTCCTGCTGTAAATGTAAGTGTCCCTACCGGAAAGTGTGCCCTAATCTCTGTTGTAATTGCTCCTTGATTCACCTGTAACAGTAGTCATACATGTTTCAGTAGTACTGAATTTTATATATCTATCTATATATATATACAGAGAGAGAGAGATTGTAGTACTGAAATATATCTATATCTATCTATAACGGCTGGTAGTACTGAAATCTATCTATCTACAATGGCTTGTAGTACTGAAATATATATATATATATATATATATATATATATATATATATATATATATATATATAAAAATGGCTTGTAGTACTGAAATATATATATATATATATATATATATATAATCTATCTATATAATGGCTTGTGGTACCGAATTATATATATCTATATATATATATCTATATATCTATATAATGGCTTCTGGTACTGAATTATATATATATATATATATATCAGTACTACAAACCATATATATACATATATGCGTTGTAGTATATATATTTTATTTATTTTAGTACTGAATGACTTCATATTAGTGATCTGTGACGTAATCATTGCATGCTATTTAGAAAAGATAATCAAAAATGGATTCCCCAGCTCTGGAGAAGACAGGAAGATATGAGATTTGTCTGTCTTCTGTATGTACCCTGTAGATCCGAATTTGTGTGAAGACAGTGGGGTCACAAATTCGTGTCTGGGGGGATATGCAGTTGACATAAACGCTACAGACACAGAGGAACATACCATATTCCATCAGTTTCTTTTTTGTGTGTGAAATTGCCAATTTTGTAATAATAATAAAAAATGGGAGATTTACAGATTTTTTGTGATGTGTTTTATTCACTCAGAACATTTAATAAGTATTATATTTACCTCTAGTTATTGACATAGATTTCTCCCTGGAGAGAAAAGCACTATGGAATTATTATGATTGCTACTAATATTATTAATATTATGATCAATATTATGATCATTGCTATGGTTATTATCATTATTATTGCTATTATTATTATTGCTGTTGCTGTTATTATTGTATTACCATGTTTCTTCTATTATTGTTATTATTATTATTATTATTAGTAATAATAATAATAATAATAATCATCATATTATTATTATTCCTACTACTATTATTATATTATTATTGTTGCCCTATGTCTCGTCGTGGTGCTTTTTGTAAGCTAGGTAATCATTTGCTATAGTTCATATTTTTCCTGATGTCTTTTTTTTGTTCCTGTTGCTTACTCTGACTTCAAATGAGCAATTTAATAATGTGACTAAATGGAATTTAGTACAGCAAGTATCCCGAATTAGTAGATGAATTTTCTATCGATCCAAAACAAGACAGATTTGTCTCTGCCAGTCCACTCTGCAAAACCTCTGTCTGCAGACACGAGAAGAGCAGTGCGGCAGCTGCAGCCACACCACCTCCTCCCTGGGATTTTTGCTTTTTTTTTTTTTTTTTTAGTTATTTTTTTTTTTTTTTTTTTTTTTAAAGCTTCTAGCTGGCACATAATGTTTGCAGTGCATTAACAAGAGCCTATTAAAGAGTAAGGGGGTGCGTCCCATCATGGAGTGGACCTTGATATAGGGGGCTCTACATGGTACCCCCCTATGTATTCAGAGGGGTGGGTAATGACTTACTGGCTGATTCCTGCGCTATGGAGCACGTTTCCTTATCCGGGGATGGTGGGAAGGATCCTATTGGCTCCTGCTGTCACATGCAAAGCCAACTTTGTTCACTTGACAGTAAAGTAGGAGGGTTTTACGAAACAGGAAAACGACTAGGACTACAGGAATAAATTGTACATGGGGTTTTTTTTGGGTGCAATTCAAACAAATAAATGACCATGAGTTCGTTTTTGATCAGCTCCAGTTATGTGGACCCCAAATTCCCACCGTGTGAGGAATACTCCCATAGTGATTACCTTCCCAACCACTCTCCAGAGTATTGTGGCAATCAGAAGAGAGAAAACAGCTTCCAGCATGGAGCAACCTACCCCCGAGCAGCCTGCACCAGCCAGCGCTACTCCTCCTGCCAGGGCTCCGCACGCCAGGCTTCCATGTTGGCTCCCCGGACTCACCCCAAGTTGGGCTCCTTCCTGAAGACAAGAGCACGAGCCCCAGTCCACCTCCGTCCTGCAGCCAAATGTCTATGGAGCACAAGCCCCCAGCATCCTCCTGCCAGAGCCCAGTGGTCTACCCCTGGATGAAGAAGGCGCACCTCTCCACTGGTAAGTCCACCACTTGTCTCTGCTCTGTCTCCACTACAGCAAGTACTTGGAAAGGCTGGGTCCCTTTTTCAAATTTACGATCTCCTGTTTTTGCAGGGTGGTATAATTACATCCTCCATAAATTTTTATTGCCCTGCCTGGCCAACTGCCTTTGAAGTACAGTTTACCATCCTCCTTAAATTTCTCCAAAGCCTCTTTTTAGTGCTCTGGACCTTCCTATATTAAGGTTTTATGTTGTTTCTAATTTGTGTTTAAGTGGCAGATTGGGTAAACTTTCACTACATCCTGTCACTTTAACGTGGAGCTGTTAAAAGTTTCATAGCTCTCATGTAACAGCTAGGAGGACTAGGGGACTAGGTTTAAGCTGTGCTTGTGTATTATTCATGGCTTGGGGGACACTAGGCTAACACTCTATTTAACAAGTGTTTTTTTTTCTTTTATTATTCATGATTATTAACTAAAAGGACTTCCACATCCTCTTGTAACTGTAATAAAAGTTCATAGCTCTCATATAACTGTATATCCTGTATAATAATAATAATAATAATAATAATAATAATAATAATAATATAACACATAGATGGAATAGAGGACTGGGTTTAGGTAGTGATTTTGTATTATTTGTGGCTTGGATGGGGGTAGGAAAACTAATCACTCTACTCATCAACCTTTTTTTGTATTATTCATTATTATTACCTATATGGACATCTGTAGTTTCTTGTAGATGATAAAAGTCCATACATAGCCCTCATCATAGCCCTCCTATAACACATAGGTGGAAAAGGGGACAGGGTTTTGGCAGCTCCTTTGCATTATTCATGGCTTGGATGGGGGTAGGTAAACTAGGCAAACACTCTACTTATCAATATTTGTTTTATTATTCATGATAATGACCTAAAAGGACATCCGTAGTTTCTTGTAGATGATAAAAGTCCACACATAGCCCTCACATAACACATAGGTGGAATAGGGGACTGGGTTTAGGCAGCTCTTTTGCATTATTTATGGCTTGGATGGGGGTAGACAAACTAGTCAAACACTCTACTTATCAACATTTTTTGTTATTATTCATGAATATTACCTATAAGGATATCCATGTTTTCTTGTAGATGTTAAAAAGTCCATACATAGCCCTCATATAACACATAGGTGGAATAGGGGACTGGGTTTAGGCAGCCCTTTGACTTGGATGGGGGTTGGCAAACTAGGCGTGCACTCTACTTAAGAACATTCTTTTTTATTATTCGTGATTGTTAACTAAAAGGACACCCATTTTTCTTTTAGATGAAAAAGTCCATGCATAGCCCTCATATAACACATAGAAGAAATAGGGGACTGGGTTTAGGCAGCTCCTTTGTATTATTCGTGGCTTGGGGGAGGGAGGATGGCAAACACTCTAGTTAAAGACAGTGTTTTTTTTTTAATTCCTGATTATTAACTAAAAGGATATCTATATCTTACTGTAACTGAAAAAAAGTTCATAGCTTACATGCAACAACTAGGAGGAATAGGGGACTGGCTTGTGTATTAATAGGGGATTGGGTTGTGTATTATTAGGAGACTGGGTTGTGTATGATTCATGGCTTGGGAAGGGGGGGGGGGGGAGCAAACAGTCTATTTTAAGGACGGTTTTTTTTAATTCATGATTATTAACTAAAAAAGATATCAATATCCTACTGTAACTGTAAAAAAAAAAGTTCATAGCTCTCATGCAACAACTAGGAGGAATAGGGGACTGGGTTGTGTATTATTAGGGGACTGGGTTGTGTATGATTAATGGCTTTGGGGGGGGGGAGCAAACAGTCTATTTAAGGACGGTGGCTTTTTTTTTATTCATGATTATTAACTAAAAGGATATCCATATCCTACTGTAACAAAAACGTTCATACATCTCATGCAACAACTAGGAGAAATTTAGGGGACTGGGTTGTGTATTATTAGGGGATTGGGTTGTGTGTTTATTCATGGCTGGGGGAAGGGGGGGGGGGTATGCAAACACACTACTTAGACAGTGTTGGGTTGTGTTTTGTTTTGCTTTTTTCTGTTGTTTTTATTTATGATTGTTTACTAAAAGAATATCCATATCCTGCTACAACTGTAAAAAAAAGTTCATAGCTCTCATGCAACAACTAGGAGAAATAGGGAACTGGGTTGTGTATTATTAGGGGACTGGGTTGTGTATTATTAGGGGACTGGGTTGTGTATTATTAGTGAACTGGGTTGTGTATTATTAGGGAACTGGGTTGTGTATTATTAGGGAACTGGGTTGTGTATTATTAGGGGAATGGGTTGTGTATTATACATGGCTTGGGGTGGGGATGCAAACAGTCTACTTAAAGGCAGTGTTGTGTTTTTTTTTTGTTAGTTTCTTTTTTAAATTCATGATTACTTACTAAAATAATATCCATATCCTACTGTAACTGTAAAAACAGTTAATGGCTCTCGCATGCAACAACTAGGAGGAATAGGGGACTGGGTTGTGTATTATTAGGGGACTGGTTAGTGTATTATTAGGGGACTGGGTTGTGTATTATTAGGGGACTGGTTAGTGTATTATTAGGGGACTGGGTTGTGTAATATTAGGGGACTGGGTTGTGTATTAATATGGGACTGGGTTGTGTAATATTAGGGGACTGGGTAGTGTATTATTAGGGGACTGGGTTGTATAATATTAGGGGACTGGGTTATGTATTATTAGGGGACTGGGTTGTGTATTATACATGGCTTGTGGAGGGGGGAGGGTTATCAAACACTCAGTCCTTTTTTAGTATTCTTGATTATGGACTATAAAGGACCTCCATATCCTCCTGTAACAGAACATGTATTGTGTGTGATTTCCTTACAGTCAATGCCTCTTATTCTGGGGGAGAACCCAAGCGCTCCCGCACAGCCTACACCAGACAGCAAGTCCTGGAGCTGGAGAAGGAGTTCCACTACAATCGCTATCTGACTCGCAGGCGAAGAGTCGAGATTGCGCACACCTTGCGTTTGTCTGAGCGTCAGATCAAGATCTGGTTCCAAAACAGGAGGATGAAGTGGAAAAAAGACCACAAGCTTCCAAATACTAAAATAAGGTCCAACCCAACGTCAAGCCACCAGGGGACTGAGGGACCCCAGAATCAGGGCAAGGGGTCCCCAACAGTCCCAAGCCTGCGCTGTTCAGCCTCCATAGAAAACTAGACGTTCCTGTTATTTATATCAAAGAAGGACTGCGCTGGGGAGAGGCAGCTTTGGCTTTGTTCCTCGCCTCATTCAGAAGCCTGTAGATAGATTTCAGATTTGGAGAAGATAGATCTATGTTTCATCTTTAATCACGCCAAACTCTGGCCCATTTGTCATGTTTACACTGCGGTACAAAGGATGAACCTCGCTTGACAGAACCGACGCTCATATTAATAAATGAGGCTCATTGTCCTGGCAGAACTGTATTTTCTCTGCCTTTGTTGCTACAGCAGGACGTCCAGTGTCGGTTCTGACACCTACACACACAAAAAAAAACAAACACATGTTCTATGTACATAGCCAGGACTGGTGGTGACTTGAGGGGTCCTTCTTGTGTAGATATTATTGTTGTGCAATTGCTAGTATATTTCACCCTCATCCTCAGCACCCTGTAGGGGACTGTACACATCTCCAGACCTTCACCTACAACAGATTATGACATGGCAAAATGGGGTGAAGCCTTTATTACCTCCAGCTGATATGTCAGTCTACTCTACCTATATATATATATGTATATAACAAATGTAAAGACCAAGCAAAGAACAGGAGACCTCTGAACACCAATTCTGGACTTTTTGTTGAGGGATCTGCCTTTTTTTTGCTTCTTGTAAATATTATATAAATAAATATTTTTGTTCTCAAGTGGATGTGTGTTTATGTGTGGTTGCCAACTCACCTCCATTTAGGGAGAGCCTGAAGGCGAGTACATCTGTAAGTAGTGTTTATCTTCTGCATTATTTGTTACACTGATACATACAATACAATAGCTTACACTATCCTACAAATAACACTTCAGTGGAACTGGAAGTTTATTTTAACTAGTTAGACTGTTGCTGAAATGATACTACTTTTTAACCCTAGTTAGTTGGCCTGTTGCTAAAATGATGTTATTTTAACCCTAGCTAGCTGGGCTGTTGCTAAAATGAGGTTACTTTAAGACTAGATAGTAGTTAGGATATTGCTAATATATTACATAGCTAGCTATGGTGCTGCTGAAATTATATTACCAGGTTGAAAAGTGTAAAAAAAAATGCCTGAATTTAATGCATCAATTAGTTTTTTTTTTTTTTTTTTATTATTATTATTATTATTTTTTTTTTTTTGCTTTAAGCCTAGCTAGTTAGGCTGCTGATAATATACTAATTGGCTGGATATGGTGTTGCTAAAATTATATTACCAGGTTACAAATGTGTAAAAAAAAAGTGCCTGAATTTAATGTATTTTTTTTTTTCTTTAAGCCTAGCTAGTTAGGCTGCTAATATACTAATTAGCTGGCTATAGTGTTGCTGGAATTATATTACCACTTTAAAAAATGTTAAAAATGCATGAGTTAAAATGCATTAATGAGTTAATGATTTTTTTCTCTTTAAGCCCATCTAGTTGGGCTGTTGCTAAAATTATTTTACTTTAAGCCTAGCTATTAGGCTGCTGCTAATTTGTCCTTAGCTGGCTATGGCGTTGCTGAAATTATATTATTGAGTTATAATTTTGTAAAAAAAATAGGCTGCATTAATGAGTTGCTTGATTTTTTTTCTTTTAGCCTAGCTAGTTAGGCTGCTAATATACTAATTAAAAAATTTAAAAAATGCATGAGTTAAAAGGTTTTTTAATTTTTTTTTTGTTTAAGCTGTGTATTAGGCTGCTGCTAAATATGTTCCTAGCTGGCTATGGTGTTGCTGAAATTATATTACCATGTTGCAAAAGTGTAAAAAAAAATGCCTAAATTTAATGCATTAATAAGTTTGATTTTTTTTTCTCTACGCCTAGCTAGTTAGGCTGCTGCTAATATACTAATTAGCTGGCTATGGTGTTGCTGAAATTATATTACCAGTTTAAAAAATGTAAAAAATGCCTGAGTTAAAATGCATTAATGAGTTATTTAATTTTTCTTTCATAAGCCCAGCTAGTTGGGCTGTTGCTAAAATGATATTACTTTAAGCCTAGCTATTAGGCTGCTGCTAATAGTCCTATGGCGTTGCTGAAATTATATTATTAGGTTAAATAAAGTGTAAAAAAAATGCCTGCATTTAATGCATTAATGAGTTGTTAGATTTTTTTTATATTTAAGCCTAGCTCGTTGGGCAGTTGCTAAAATTATATTACTTTAAGCTTAACTAGTTAGGCTGATGCTAATATATTACTTAGCAGGTTATGTTGTTGCTGAAATTATATTACCAGGTTAAAAAGTGGTAAAAAAAAAAAATGCTAGCATTTTGCATTAATGAGTTGCTTGATATTTTTTTTTTTGCACAGATGTTTCTCAGTGTTTCTAGTTTTTTCTTTCTTTTTTTTGTGTTTTTTTTTTATATTACAAAGGAGCTTGGCCACTGCAATAGCTCAAACCCTGACAAGCAAATAGATAATCAAGAAGACAAATGGCTTCTTTTGTGAGACACGGCCTTGTATTAATTTTCATTTTCTCTCTCTTACCGAATTTCAACTCTGAACTAAATATGATTTTTGTTATTTTTTTTTTAATTTGCCATTTCTTTATGATTGCTTTAAGGGTCATGGCACATTTTAAATTCGAGATCCATTTGGAATAATCACTTAAAAAATGTAACAGATAAATATTAGACAGGTGGGTAGTAGGTGACAAATGTAAAACATAGGTGAAGTAAGCACAGAATGTTTTTAAAGTAGTTAAATATTTTACATTTGTTCGGTTAAATATGCCCATTTATGTCCTTGGCAAAATTCAATCCCAGAGTCTACATCTGCAGCTCCTCTCCCCATTTGCTCCTTTTTTTCGTGAGAAAGAAATAAAAGATGGTCTTTTTTTCAGGAACAGAATGGGCAATGCTGAATGTAAAGTTCACAACCATTATTTTGTAGACACAGTCCCAAGAAAAATGTGAAAATTATGCAGAAAAATCATTAATCACTCGTTAAAAAAATACTTACCCCATGTCTTTGTTATTCAACAGAAGATCTGCGTGGACCGTATGTTGGGAGGAAAAAAAAAAAGGAGAAAGGGTTTCTTGGATCCTCCAGAGAAAGTCTGAATTAGAGCATCTAGTTCTTTTTTTTTCTCCCCTTCTGTCGACTTCGGAAAAGTTCTACAAACATGGCTAGGAAATTGGAAGCCTTGAGACCAAGATCCGGTATCGCTCAAGGTAACACAGCCCTGTCAAGCTGGCTAACATTTATTGCTTTATTACCTCCTGTCACATTTGTGTTTCAAACAAAAACTCCCTTTGAAGTCTCTAAGAACGTGATTTCAATGTATCAGGACAAATCCAAGCAAGCTGCTTATCTGGTGTACTTTTTTTTTGTTTGTTTATTTATTTTTATGTTGTTGTTGTTGCTTTTTATGTTATTGTTATGCTACAAAGGATACAGTAACAGTTTTTTAAGCACCACATACACCCTTTATGCAGTATTCAGTAGCCATTTAAAAGATATCATTGTAATACTTTTTGGCTGTAATAAAATGTAGGACCTTTTCACTTTTTGCACTCTTGGTTCAAATCATTTGTTCCAGCAGAAATTGTGCTTATTTTTGGGGTGATTGAAGCCTATTTTTGGGTCAAGTAAATATGTGCATGGCTTTAAAAAAAAAAGGCAAGGAATGCAGGAAGGAATGAGCAGTGAGTTCATCTGCAGGGCAAGACAGTGTAATGAGCTGAGAATGACCCAGGAAACCCCATGACCTCTACGAGGTCGGACAAAGCTGTGTTTAACATCTCTATACACACAGCAAAAACTCCAAGATTTCAAGAGTTCAGAGCTACAAATATAAAGGTGAAAGTATTGTGCACGAAACTGGCTGCAGGCCCCTACACCCCATGTATAGGTATTATTCATATCTTACATACCAAAAAAAATGTAAAATAAAATAACACCAACATAGGCTTGGACGTGCCCTAGGGTGAGCACTCCACCTACTACATTGTTCTTTCTTTTTCTTAAAGGTAGATAGCAATCATATTCTTCTGTTGGGTTTGGGTGTGCACAAGTGTGTGCATGGGTGCCATACACAAGTACATACCATACACAGTACATACCATACAGGATGATTTGAAAATCTTCACTCAATAAATAGTGCAAATATTCGTTTTTACTAACAAACCAGAGAAGAAAATTCCTATTTTTATGAATACCCAATCATCAATTTGCTTTTCATCTGATTGGATAAATAAAGTGAATATTTACACAATTTATTGACTCCTTTAGTATATCAGCCCACATATATGGCCACTTATTTCTATTATCTACATGCTGTATGGGGGGGGGGGGGGGGGGTTATTTACAAAACCGGCATGGTGCAAAATCTGGTGCAGTTTTGCATAAAAACCAATCACCTTTCAGGTTCTCTTGTCAAAGCTTCATTGAAGAAGCTGAAGTTAGAAGCTGATTGGCTACCATGCACAGCTACCCTGATTCTGAGTGCTCCAGTTTTAGTAAATCTCATCCTATGCATTATGTATATGTACCCCTCAAAGCTGAAAAAATATTATTTATTTTGACGCCAGGACCTTTTACCTTGGTGCCAAATTTCATAGCAATTTAAAATTCACGAAGTATTCTTCATTTAGCGTTTGTATGTGCTTTTTTTCCCTTCTGCAGACAAAAAAAATGTATGTTTGTGTCCACCTACAAAGCACTGATAAAAACGGAGAGAGTGTGAATGTGGAGAAGAGATAGTCAAAATGAATAGCAGGAAGGGATACACTATTGTTCTGAGCTAAGGCTGAGGCTCAGAGATTTCTCCACTTCACCCTCCTCAATGACAGATTTATGACACCCAATAAAACCAGCTTGTTTAAATTCCTAAATCAATCTCTTCTGCTCATTACATAAACTTACCATTTATCTGCACCCCTGCACTCCCCAAAATACTCTTTGAAGAACTCATCCAGACGTCTAGATTCTTTGTTTTTAATATAGATCTTTTTTGGGTGTATTTTGGACCATTTTCCAATATGAAGCTATAGCTCATTTCAGGTCATTATTAT